GTTCATTCGTTGTGTTTTTATGTTGCACACACTTTAGGACTGTTGTGGCAGTGATGTGCATGTGATGAGACCAAACCGGACCGGATCTGTTCCAGTCTGGGTCAGGCGTCGACAGTCGGCAGATAAAATCATGTAGTTTATGACGTGTAATGATTCTAGTCTCAAGTCTTCTGACGGCTTCTCCTGGAGTGAGCTCTCCAGTTCAGTGGTTGTGTTGGTGCGGGAGTGTGTTCAGTGTATTTACTCAGTCATAAGGTTTATCAGGAGATCTTGAAAAGTCTTAAGGTGTTAAACACCCCTGCAGGAACCCGGTTCATGCTCCGGAAGACGAAAACACACACTGGTGCATGTTTGTGTGTGTCCGGTCGTCATGTTTGTCGCGAAGCTTAAAATGTTACAGACCCAAATGGAGAGAAAGAATCTGAACCTTTAATATTTGACGTGCAAATAAAAAGAAGAAATCTGTGTCAGAAATCCGGCCAAATGTCGTTCGTCTCATGGAAGCAACAATCTGAAATGTACAGGTTTTTTTGCATCAGATGAAGAAGAGGTTTGTGTTTGTTGTTGTGCTGAGACGACGAGTTGATCGCCAGAAAACGAAGCAGCAGTTTTGTGAAACAGTTATTGGACAAACGTCCGCTGCACTGTGAGGATTTGTGATTTTTTATCATTATAAGCTGAATATCTTCATGTGAAGACGTCTCTTTAGGCTCTGACATTTTTAATCAAATAATGAGAATCATGAGTTGTAGCTGTAGTTTATATTCTGAGATGAGTTAAAGATGGCAAAACAAAAACATCTCCGTACAGTAGCTCTTCCTCCGCCTCCTCCTGTGCCGTCTGTCAGTTGCACACAGTTTCCACAGGGTTGTCCCCGCTCTGGGTCTGTAATTAGGGCCTCTGTGGCCTGGCTGCTCCCCCGCTTCAGCTGCTGGTCGCTGGGCCGAGCCCCAGCCTGGACCGGCCGAGTGCGGCGTCCCGCAAAGACATCACGAGTCTGTGAGCAACATGAGAGCAGCAAACACAAAACACGGCAGCAGCGCTTGTCGGCACGTGAACACGCCGGGCGCAGTCTGCAAGAACCCGCCTCCCGGGATACTGTATTTTATTTTTGTGACACTTAACACTTCCTGTTACAGCAACAGTTTGTAAGTGTGCGGTGCACCGAGCTGAAACTGCTTTAAAATGAATGTCAGCCACAAACAAATATTGGTCTTTCCTCAGCTGACGCATCTGGAGTTCACAGTTCAGACAAGAAACTTTTGTCGTGTGCAGCTCGTCCTGCTTTCGACTGTGAGCTGGAGATTTCCCCCCACACCTGCGGACAGCAGAGCTGACACCAGGGCTTTAATCTGAGTCTAGAAATAAAAAGGAAAGTCGGCATGGTAACAACGAGTCCTCGTCCTGTTTCAGAAAATAAATGACGTCACATTAAAGAAGCTTTAAAGTTGAGTGTCAGTCGGACTGTACGACCCAGTATTTACCAGAAGTGGAAACATTTCACCTGATTTAAGGCGCAGTGCTGTGTTCAAGTACATCTGATCTCCAACTTACTTATTATTGTCTCTGATGCTTTCAGGCGCATCCTGTGGTCTTCCTCGGCAGATGGACTTGTCCAGGTGGAACAGAGATGATTTGTTTTTGTCACGTTGGTTGAAAGCTTCGAAAACAACAAATATAAGTTGGAGAAAAGAGTTTTTTACAACCTTGGCTTTCTGCTCATCTCAAACTCTTGGTTCTGGGATCAAATAATTCATTTATTATATTTATTACTTCATTTTAATTGTTAATGAGCATCATAAGTGACACTAATGAAGATCTGAGGGTGGAAGCGTTTGCTCCTCTCTCACTGAAACACCTGAGCAGGTTGTTTTTTAGATTTTTAGACGTGGCCTTTGTTTCTTAAAATGTAATTTATTGATTAGGAAGATCATCTGCACAACAGGACAGGATCTACAGCAGCCAATTAAAAACCTCTGCACCTTCACCTCTTCCCTCGTCCGTCCTTGAGTCGTTTCCTTTTTGTTTTTCCTCCCGAGGACGTGACCTCCAGACCTCGGGGGTCAAGCGGAAAGCGGCACATGGCTCTCTGATTCGGGGCGGGAAGCTGAGGTCACGCGGAGAGAAAACCAGGTCGAGGGGAGTGAGGGAAAGTAAACATGAGGTCAGCAACAGAGACGAGGATGAGGGAGAGTGAGTGTGAGACTCTCCGGCACCAGGACCCCCCCCCCCCCCCCTTTAAAACAACAACAACAGCAGCAGCAGCAGCAGCGTCTAAAATCAGAGCTGTTTACCTGCTAATAATAGAGAAACACCAACGAGCTGCCAACTCCCCCCTCTCCTCTCATCACCTTCCTCTCACATGCTTTACTGTGGGGTAGGGGGCGTGGCCACCAGGTGAGCGCTCCTCCTCGTCTTCCTCCTCCTCCTCCCCGCTCGTTTCCTGTGTGGTCGGAGGACTTTGTTCAGTCATGAGAGCAGGGAGGAACTTTCCAGAACATTACTCAGCCCGACAGAACGGGCGAGAGGTTATTGACCTGCTGTAATCACCTTTTTATTCTGCGTCTGGCATTTCATTTCTGGTCAGCGGCGGCAGATAACAATCCTCTCGCTGCCGTGTTCACACCCAGTTGCCACTTTTATACCTTTCCTAAAATACAGGAGGCATGGAAGCTTCGCTCTGCCTGGAAAAGAATACCAGCCACTAACTCTGAATTATAACAGACTCTTCTGATTTTTACCTGTTAAGTCAAAAATGGCGATAATATGATTTTGATCATTTTGATTTAATAAATCAACTTCTTTTTTTTTTTTCAGCCATAAATAATTACAACCTCAATCTGATTTCATGCTGCACACGGAGCCAGTAGTTTTCCACACAACAGCAGGTCACTGGAAGGTTGGAGGTGTGCAGCTCGACGTCTAACAGCTCGCTGTGGCGCTGCTCCTCACGCCGCCATCGCTCCCCCGACAGATTCACAACTGATCCTCCGTCAACAAAACAGATAAAATCCCAGATGATTGTAGATGATCTCGGTCAGCGCTAACCTCCTGCTCGATTACAGCCACCCCCGTGTATCGCCAGTTAAAAGCTTTTAATGTGAAGTGGCAGCAGCAGGAAATGCTGTGTTAGCGTTAGCAACAATTAAAGAGAGCGACAGGTGAACAGTAGGCTGCATCTTTTCACCACCAACAAGAAAGAACTAAAAGACAGAACTGTGATTACAGACTGTAAATACACTGAATGGCTGTTATACTAACGGTTTAAGAATCTTAAAGCTCCTCCAGTGTAAAGGTCTCTTTCCACAGAGAAATGCACACAGCCTGTATTCAGAAACTGAGCCTTAAAACCAGCCGTCAGGACTTCTGGAACTTTGTGATGTCACAACAAAGCAGTCACCAAGCCCCGCCCACCTGGACCCACCATCCAAACCTTGCAGGATTTGGTTTCTCTGAGTGTTTTTACCTGAAATCTGCTATATTTTTATTGGATCACTCAGAAAACAGTCAGCCAATCAGAAGAGAGGCTCAGAGCCTCCTCTCTTCTGATTGGCTCACCGACCTGTTGTTACTAGAGCTGCAGAGAGAAGCCTGAGAGAGGAGATGTAAAACTACATCGAGAAATATATCTTCTCATTGATCAACATTTCAAAATAAAACACAGGAAGTGGGAAATATGGAGCTTTACTTACTATATCTATCTATAATTAGATTATTTTACCAGCATAAAGTCAAAATGTTGGTTTGGTATCTGATTATTTTGTCAGAATTTTATCTTTGTTTAATCCATGTTTTTCTTGTGCTCCGGCTGGGAAACAGAGGAGGGGCTTTTAACTGTCACAGAGGAAGTTGAGCGCAGCTGGATCCAACCGATCGAACACAATATTTCAGATGAAATAATGTGAAGTGAGCTGGTCGGCAGCCAGAGGAGGGAGGGGGGGTCACTGACAGGGGGTGGGGGGGATAAAACGAGAGAATAAGGATCGGCTTTCTGCTGCTTTCTCTCCCCTCAGCACATTGGTTTCTCTGTGCCCAAAGCAGAACTAAGCCTCACCAGAGCATACATTTATTTTTACGATATTTAAACAAACAAATAACAAAAATAAATCAATGCGAAACCTCGAAACCTGACCAAAGTGTGTTTAGGAGCCCCTCTGCCCTGACAGCGAGCGGGAGACCACCAATTTCTCCCGGTCAATATTTGAGGAGCTAATTTGGAGAGTTTGTCCTCTCCATTGGGGAAAAAAAAATCAGGATTTAGTGAATAGCGTGTGTTTTTCTATGCGTCGGCCGTGTGTTCGCATAATGTCGCATGAGTTTACACGCACCCTTATCTGTCAGGCTTGTGGTTTGACTGAGCTGCTGTGTGTGTGTGTGTGTGTGTGTGTGTGTGTGTGTGTTTCAGTTGTTCCTGCTCACTGGTCTACCTGTGGTCAGCTGTGCCAATAATGCAGCTTTGATTAGAGGCTTATCGCAGCCCCAGCACACCCTGCATCACACCTCAGACATGTGACTCCCACAGCAGGGCCATAAAACAAACATACCCAACGGCTCCGAGCTGCGCCTGAAAGGGAAACTTCAAATCATGTTTTCATGCATCTAATTATTTACTGGCTGTAAGTCTGCAGACGGATTGAAACTCACATGACGGCTTCAAATAAAGACACATGAAGTGTACGGCACAAAAACAGGAAGTGGAACTGAACATACTTTGTGTTTCCAGAGCCGATTAACTTGGGGAATAAATTCAAATCACATAAAATGTAAAGTGATCCTGGACATTTGAACAATGAGACGTTTAAAACATCTGGAACATGTAGTTTTGACTGTAGTTTCTCTTGTTAACGATGAGACAACAGCATAAAAACACTGGCACAAATAAAACATGAATTATTGGTGTTAGATAAACAACATGGCAGGAAGCTCTACACCACGCTATGTGCAGGTGATGGAGGAAACCCGTCTCTTATGTCCTCCATCTTTCTGTCTCCTCCCATCAGGCTCTTCCCGTGGCGAGCTCCAAGCAGCAGGACGCTCACGGCTTCGACGCCGACCTGCAGCACCTGTACGCCTCCGTCGTCGCTCACGGAAACGCACGAAAACGCAGACTGTCGGAGGAGCGCTGCGTGGAGGAGGAGGAGCAGCGGCCGGCCGCCTCAGAGGAACCCGACCTCACCCCGTCTGCAGGTGTGTGAGTTAAAGTCCAGGAAGCTCAATAACTAGTTTTAGGATGCTGCAAAACAAAATGTCACTTTCTGATACATTAACGTGTGAGCAGCATTTTAATGTCAGCTGATTTCACTGTTTTACATGATGATCATGTTATTTTGTGCTTTGCAAAACAATCTCTCGTCTTTTCAAGTCGTTCTGTTTTTATTCCTCTGCGCCGCCGGCAGCCATGTTGTTTTCAGGTACGTCAGTCTCATCTCAGTAACGCCGAGACGGAACTTCTTCAAATTTGGCACCAACATTTACTAGGACTCAAAGATGAACTGATTTGATTTTGGTGGTCAAATGTCAAAGGTCAAGATCAAGCTGACCTCACAAAACATGCTTTAGGTCTTGTGAACACAATATCTCCAGAACTCTTCAAGGGAATCCCTTTACATTTTTCACTCGGACTCGAGGACGAATTGATGAGACTTTAGTGGTCAGAGGTCAAAGGTCACAGTGACCTCACAAAACACTTTGCACAGAAATTATGACATAATGTCACACAAATGTTAAATATTTTCTATGACTCTGGAGAAACAGGGATGTGACCTGAAAGAGAATTTGACCCTCGTCTTTGTCTCCAGATCTTCAGCCGGAACATTTCATCACGTTTAATTAACGGCGTGTTTGATCGTCTCTGTCCTCGTCCTTCAGGCGTTGGATCCGTCAGCACTGAAACAGCTGAGAGCGACAGAGGACTGAGCCACAACGGCCAGACAGAGGCGACGAGAGCCAAGATGGCCGACAGAGCCGCAGTGCAACAGGTACGACGGGAAGAAGACGTCGTCACGTCTTTCATTCTCTGTAAATTATTGTAGTGATTTTGACATTTATTGGTTTTAACTTTGTGATAATTGTCACAGAAAAGTGTCCAGATTTTTTAAATGCAAAAACCCAGAAAGAATCCACAGTTTGATCCTGTAGTCATGGCAACGCAGTGAAATATTAAAGCATTAAGCACTAATAATGATAATGAAGTAGATTTTATACAGTATAATGTTGTTCAGTAAAACATGACTCAACATCATAGAAGTTTAATTTCTAGAGGAGAAATGAAACTGATGTTGACGTGAATGTTAGTGAATTTCCTCAAAGGGTTTGGTGGAAAGTTTAAAAACTATTTACAGAGAATTTAAGAGGTGAAGTGTTTCACTCAGTAAATAATTCAAAGGTAAAGAACATTTAACGAGACGTAAAAAAAAGATGAAAAGAAATATCCGTCCTCTCCTGTTTGTCCTCCAGTCTCTGCCCGTCACGTGCAGCCCTGCGGAGCGACCAGCCTCCAAACCAAAGAAGAAGAAAGTGGGACTGTTCAGATGAGCCCGAGCAGTAGGACACACACACACCATTAAGAACTTCAATAGAAAAAGTTTTTTCCCACGTGGAGAAAAATGGAAACGGATCTGTCTTCAAAACCATTTCCTGTTTTTAACGTCTTCATTTTTACAGGTCGAGAAACTTTATCTGCTTTTAATCTAGTTTAGATTTTATCATATAAACAAGTTTTTAAATGAAACATTTAATTCAATGAATTCATTTTTCTATTTTTAATGGTCTTGTGATTTGGTTTTATCTGATAACTGCTGTCAATATTTCAAACATACAGGTAATTAAACAGGTAACTAGTTTAATTTCTCATGATATAAACAATCAATTTTCATGTCGTTTAAAACTGATTTATTGATTTTGGGGGGTTTTAGAAAAGTCAAACAAGCTGTTGATTAAAGGTGTAAATATAATTCTGATGGTTTTTGTCGGTTATTCACAAAATCAGTTACTGAAAATCTTTAAAGTATCGTAGATGATAACTCTAAAACATGTCTTGGTCTTTCTAGCACTAAAGAAATATTATTTTTATCTATTTTAACACAGTAACTTTCACTTTTATTACATTTAATGAAGAGAATCTGTTTTTCTCTTCGTCCACAAGCCTCCAGATCTTTATATTTATACTTCTTCTGTTTTAAAGACACAAAGGCAGCCGTGTTTGTGTCTGAAGGAGGGTTCAGGAGCCGCTTGTTTCTCCCCGAGCTCACGCAGACGGAGGATAATGGGTGGAGAGCGGTCGATAGAGCTGCCTCCCTCCTTTTTTCAGAGCACAGTGACATGTTGACTCAAGGTGTTGCAGCATCTGGGGAATGCTATTGAAGTCTTAGTTGAAAAGTCGGTGTTTGTCTGCGCGGCTCCGAAGGATTTCAAGTGTTTCTGTGTGGTTTCATTCTGACCGTGAATGCATCAGGCACACGAGAAGACGTTCATAGACTTTTTACTTCACTTCCTGGTAACCCTGCTGCGAATCATTCACCATTGTCTCCCGTGCATGTGACATTTCTGTATAATTCGTGGAATAATGAGCAGATACGACTGAAGACGTTTCTCTGTTCTCCAGGTGTAATAGTGGCAGGACCGTGTTATTATAAAGCCCTCTGCAGGAGATCTTAGCAAACCTCCAGGAAATAATCAGGAGATTAAATAAAGAACAATCTATTGTTGTTTGCATTTTAAACCTTTTTCTTTTGGCTCCAGTCGTTCTTATGTTTTATCTGAAAGAGGAGGAAAATGATCCCCGGACGGTCCTCGGACCGCGGTTTGACCTCCTGTGATGGAGGTATGACATCAGCAGAGGGCTCAGCGGGCTCAGCCGCCGGGTGTTGGGTGACCTGTCTCAGTGAGTGACACCCCGACATAATTCAGCGCAGTGAGCCGCTGCGTTATCCGCAGCTGATCCGGGCGCAGACGGTCGACCATAAACATCTTTTACAGCAAAATCAGAGCAGCTGCTGATCGCTCCTCGTCTGCTCCTGTATTTTTAGTCGAACGCTCACGACGACACGTCACAGCCACTTATTTTCAGCTTCTGCAGTTAGTGGTGGATTAAATATGGACGTGAATGAACGTGGAACAAGGTCAATTATCTGCCCTCTTACACCAAAAGTCCTGTTCTCACCTGTGAGCAGAGACCGGTTCTCTGGAGGATGATCTTTAATTCACTTTCTGAATGTCAGTTATTCTTGAGCTTCAGGTCAATATCTTGATTATTTTACAGACATATGTAAACATCTTTGTGAAATGAGGTTTTGGAACAAACTCCCACTTCAAACATTTTCCTATAAATGACACGTTTGCTGCATCAGCACAGAAACGTCTGTGAAATGATTTTGAATGAAGCGATATTTTCACTCTCAGCTGTATTTTTCTTAATTTCACACACGTTTTCAATCAAATCAGAAGTTATATTAGTCAGTGATTTAGTGACTGCAGGTCAGGTTATATGAACAGTGAAACTTAGAAGCATAAAAATGAGACATTATCTTTGGAAATGCAACCGGTTTATAGACGAAGAACCTTGAAGGGCCAGAAAGGAAATCTGAGGGAGGTGATTAAATATTATTAACATTCAGAGCAGAGCTGTTGCTTCTGTCTCTTCTGACTAAATGTATTGCTTTGACTTTTTAACCCTCACCTGACCAATACAAAGGTTGCTTAATGACGTTTCCTCCACGCAGGACTTGAACGCAGCTTTGGGACAGAGCAGGAACTTTTAGAGCCTGAGTTGGTGTAATGGATCACCCTGAGCCCCCAGAGGAATCCTCAGTTTCTACTCTGAGTTGTGATTTAGTAACTTTCTGGGAAGTGAATTAATTAAATCAAAAATTGCATTAATTAATATTAATTAGATCAAAAATCTGTCATTATTTTAACCCAGAAACATCAGTAGGAATGAAAGAGAAGATACAGACAGCCACATATATGTTGTCTCCATACTGTGGAAGGGGCTTCTGGGAAATGTAGGAGTGGAGTCACCAGCTGAGATTGAAAAGCAGGTTCAGGGAACGTGGTATATTTCAGTTCTTCACCACAAAATAAGACGGTTTTTACAAATTGGGGTCCCCGGGCCTTTGGGGGGGGGGGGGGTCCGGGTGGGTCCCAGCAGAGGGTGTGTGGGTGTGGGTGGGGGGGGGGGGTTAATGTCACTGTGAGAGAGCAGATAGAGGTGAGGGTTTATGGTCACAGGTGTGTTACTTCCTCACCCACAGCACAGACTGTTATGTCACTCTGGACTAGGTCTGAAATCTTTCAGAGGGGTTGGGGGGGGGCGGGGGTGAGAAAGTTTTGCAGGTCTTGGACTGCGCACCTGCGACTTGACTTGAAGACTGGGGTCCAAAGGGCAGAGTGAGCGCGCGCCAGCCCGGACAGTCTCGTGGCCCGGTGTTTGTGTGTCCTCAGCTGACAATAAACAGATGAAGGCGGCCGCGGGGCCTGTGCCACCCCGAGGGGAGGAGAGGACGGAGCGGAGGGCAGGTCCAGCAGGGCGCGGTCTTCTTCTTCTTCTTCTTCTTCTTCTTCTCCTCTCGCGGCACCTCATCTGTACTGTAGTAGGATCTCTTCCATTTCCATTTCTGCCAACAGCCCTGCGCCACAGGGACGCATTGAGAGCAAAGCCGAGAGGCAGAAACCGCTGCGGGGACACCCTCTGACCGCCGTGCCCAACAGGCGCAGCCAGCCTACGCACCGCGCGCCTCCGTGTCTGTCTTTAGCCCGTTTCTCACAGCTCCGACACAGAGAGGCCGCTTTGAACCTGTCTGCCAAGATAAACTCACCTCGCCTATTTATGCCCCTGCCTCCGCGTGCACTCGGGACAGCGCAGAGGACAGGTTCAGGTCTTTCCAGCTCGTCTCCAGCGGCGCACTGGCCACTTTTACGCGCCGGGAATGGCGACTTTCGGGGACTCGGGGATGAGTCCTGCTCCGTTACGTCCACTCTAAAATTATCAAGGGGAGCCCACGCGAGGGGGCACATCTAAAGAAATACAGCGGTGACATTTGGGCCACCCGCCGGGGGAGTGACACACCGGCCCCGGGGCGGAATGCTGCTCCCGACGCTGGTGACGTGCCTCGCCGGGTGCGCCTTTCTCCTGTCGCCGGTCAGCGAGGGCTGTGGACCGGGTAGAGGCTATGGCAAGAGGCGGTCACCGCGGAAGCTCGTGCCGCTCGCCTACAAGCAGTTCAGCCCCAACGTGGCCGAGAAGACGTTAGGGGCCAGCGGGAGGTACGAAGGGAAAATAACCCGGAACTCTGAGCGCTTCAAGGAGCTCACCCCGAACTACAACCCCGACATCATCTTCAAGGATGAGGAGAACACAGGTGCAGACCGCATGATGACACAGGTAACCCTGCCGGCTGCCGTAGTGCCTTTTAGCCCGGGCCTTTCAGCGCTGTAGAAAATGTTTATTAAGGAGGTATTTCAGTGCGTTACCTGCTGCACTTTGCCCAGTCTTTAAACGCGTGGACGCTTTTATCTTTTTCCGCATTTCTTGTTGACTCAAGGCTCGTGACTGTAAAAAGAAAAAATCAAATGAAGGTGAACACGCGCGTTTCACAGCAAATCTCAAAACATGCGCTTAAAATAAATGGGTTTAACGCTGTTCAAAGGTTCATTTCACCTGGTTTCATTCACAGCAGCTGCTTCACTCGAAGATCATTTCACTCTCTGTCCAATAAAACTACAACTTTAACTCTTTTCCAAATCAGAATCAGTCTGAAGGTGGATTTATCTGGAAGCCCTGATATAAAAGCTCTCTGTGTGCACCGCTCTCTCCGCAGAGCAGCTCGCTGACACGGTGTGTGAGTTGTGGAGGTGACCGGTGTGAATCAGAGCTCTGCTCTCTCTGCGCCACATGGAGCTTCAGAGCTTCAGTGTGGGCAGCTCGTGCGTAAAAGAGGGCAACCCCGCGTCTAAAAATGTATGGAAAAGCGGTTGCTCTTAATTAAAACACTATGTCCTCTGTTTTACATCATGTTTTTTGGTGGAAAAACAGCCAAAAGTCGTATTTAGTTAGAGCCCGGGTCAAGCGTGTACTGATGTTTACCGTGTTCGTTTTTAGCCCGACTGGCCAGAGTTAACAGTCGCCTTTTGGACTGTCAAAAATTTTTACGACACCGTCATTGATGTGGCCCTGGGTGGAATTTATTTGACTCCCAATTTCCCCAGGAATAAAGTATTTATATCTGGCTCTTGTGACCGCGGGCTTCCTCCCCGAGCGGCAGCGTTTATGTCCACAGACCCACGTGGGGAATGAAAGCGCGCACTCCAGTCTGGAGCTGTCACCTCTCTCCGCGCACTGCAAGAAATATCCGCCGGAGCGAGCCGCTGAGGGGAAAATGGGAAAGGAGAAAGTGTTTTAATGCACGAGGCAACATCTGCAAATAGGAATGAGTTTCTTCCAGATGTTTTTAGTGCAAATAAAACAGACCCCCGAACTTTTCACTCCCTAAATCCTTCCACTGTCACAGATTCACTGTCTCCTCTTTTCTCAACTAGTCGCCACATTTCCCAGAACATCAGCCCTGAACGAGCCGGAGGAGCCAGAACCGTCCCATCGGCTCATTTCAACCTTGTTCACGAAACTAGAAACCCAGACATGTCTTTAACTGTGAGACGTCTCTCCTCCAAACGGGACATTTTTTGCAGCGCGCACCCCGAGCCCGCTGCGCGTCAACGGCGCTGACCTGCACACAATTTATGGGCTCCAAGCCGCAGGAGACAGCCTCCTGTTTGTCTTTTGCTATTCCGTGTTACTTTTGTGTTTGTTTTCGCAGCGCACATGTGCAAAAATAGCTTCACTTGTGTCGAAGCCTTAATTATACAGATTTTTCTATTTTTTTTTTGCCTCTTTAGTTTTTATTCGCTTTTTCCTGGGCGCTGCGCTGCATACAGGCGCGACTGTTCAGGGGAGAAGACGCTGCTAAAAGTCTCTTTCTTCACATTTAACTCGAGATTTGATGAATTTCTTTTACGTTCAATTCACATGTGAAGAAAAGCAACAAATGCAACATGAATTTACTTGTATCTGAGATTTATTTCGGGGATTTGTTGCATAAAGATTTTCTTCATCTCCAGCGAAGCATTAAGAAAAAGTGAAAACAGCCTCGTTGCGTTGGAACCGGGTGAAAACAACATCTGGTTTTCTCAGATTCTGTCCCTGCATGTGAAGCAAACAAGCCTTTTAGACGCCACATGAAACCAAACGATCCGTTCAGGGACACTTTCTGCAGCGCGGAGGTGTGCATATAGACGCATGTTGTCAGCCTGTGCGTCCAATGTTTGTGCAGCCAGCGGTTTAGTGCAGAAACCGCTCCTACAGAAACCCCCGTCGATCTGTATACCTTGAAAGGAAAACCAACAAAATGTATCGTCTGATTTATGAAGTCCAACTCGTTGCTGTGACCGCAGAGAGAAAACATAAGACGTTAAAATCCACACTGAACACTGTGAAAAGGCATCTGTGGCCACCGAGCCGCGAGCTATTCTTATCACAGCCAACATGGAAAAAGACATTTATAGGGTTTAATCCCAGTTTTCAGGCCGAACAGGGAGAGATTCAGGAAACGCTGCATCACTGAGACTTGCATTCAGAGCTGCTGCACTTACACAACCTGGAGTTAATGAGACCTCTTTCTTCTTTCTCTCTCTCTGGCGGGTTGATGAACCTCCAGTGGCTCCAGGTTTCACCCAGATCAGAGTTTTAGTCTTTACAGCTTTTAGATTTGGAACAGTGAAGGCGACTCCGCAGCTCCCATTCAAACAGCTGCTTCCTAAACATCTGGGCTCATCGGCTCTTTAAGGCCCAGGGGTGTGTTGACCGCGTGTCTCAGGTCTGTCTTCACCTCTGACCTCATCGTCCTGTCACATTTTATATCATATCAGATATGTAAGTTTAAATGCGGAACAGCGCCCCCCTCAGGACAAACTGTGTCAGTTGCCGAGACACATTTTTAACTTTATCTAAGTTTTTTTTCTGAAGTTTTTAAAATCTCATCATCCTGTTAAATTTAGATTGAGTGTAATGTGACACAGCGCCCCCCCCAGGCCGAGCTCTGCACATTTCTACACCAATTCTCACCTTGTGAACCGTGTCAAAATCAGACCAGGTGTCTCTGAAAGGTCACCTGAGACACTGCCCCCCCCCCCCCCCCCGCCCCTCCGACAATGCAAGCCTAGGTGGGTGGACCAGATGGACCTTGAGGGTGGGGGTGGGGGGGGGGGGGGATTTATTTGCGTCAGCCGGAGCAGGAGGGAGCTGAGCGAGTCCCTCAATGGGCCCTCTCACCTCCTGTTTGCTCACCCTGACCAGACTCCAGGTTTAGAGGGACGCTGAGGACCTCTTGTTCATGTAGCTGCCACCCCCATCACCCCCCCACCACCACAGCCCCCCCTTCACCCCCTCAGCTCCCCTCCATCCCCAACATAGCCTCCTGGCTCCCTTCGCTCGCCACAGAGAGCAAACATCAGGCCGAGCTGGGACAGCAGAGGTGCATTGTGGGAAAGCTGAAGCCACAGACAAGGGGGTGGAGGGGGGTGACGGGGCTGATGGGGGGTGACGGGGGTTTGGTGAAGTGGATGGATGCAGGTAGAATGGGTCTTTGTGAAGAGCCAGAGTCCAGACCTCTCTGGACCGGCTTTAAAGGTGCAGCAGAAGAGGGCGGGGCTTAAACGTCCACGTCATCATCGATTTCAAACAGCAGAAGTTCAGAGGTCACGTCTGCAGTCTGTGACGAAGAATGAAGAGAGTTTAAAGCTGCTGTCCATCAATAATCAATAATAATCAACACTAATCCGTCTCTGTGTTGCAGCGCTGCAAAGACAAGCTCAACTCTCTGGCCATCTCGGTGATGAACCTCTGGCCCGGGGTCCGGCTGCGGGTCACCGAGGGCTGGGACGAGGACGGCCACCACTCGGAGGAGTCGCTGCACTACGAGGGCCGGGCGGTGGACATCACCACCTCCGACCGCGACAGGAACAAGTACGCCATGCTGGCACGGCTGGCGGTGGAGGCGGGATTCGACTGGGTCTACTACGAGTCCAAAGCCCACATCCACTGCAGCGTCAAGTCAGGTGAGAGAGCGCAGGTGCTCAGAGAGGGGAGGGGCCAATACCTGAGAGAAACGAGATGAACCAGATTCCATCACATTCAGACTAAAGATTATTATTCAGTTATTATTTAAGTTCAGAAAGACTCTTTTAACTTAACCTTAAAGCAGCGCCGACCTTTTCCAACTCACGCTCCGCTAGAAAAGCTCAAAAAGCGTTGGCGCCCACGTCCGACCCCGGAACAACCCGGAGGCCAAATAATGTTTTCCCAGAGCAGACTGAACCCAGAGCCGGGGACGCTCACCTCCCGTCTCTCCACTCTCTTTTAATCCTTCCTGTTGCTAACCAGCTCTCCACTTTCACTCGCCAGTTTTTGCATCTTTTAACATGCAATCAGACTGAGATAACAAACAAGGGTAGGAAGTGGTCTGACCGGCTCCTCTCATGGACTGATCACAGTGAAGAGAAAAACTCTCAACGTTTTTAAGATTTTAAAGATCATTTCTTTTCGAGACATTTAAAAATTTATATTTTAAAAATCATTTATAATAAGTATTTCTTTATTTTTTGCAAATGATTTCCCTCTCGTCACACTGGTGGGTCCCGGCCCACAGGTTGGGAACACATTTCAATATTTAACCAGAACCACCATCTCTGCAGGAGCAGGTCTGCACCAGGAGGAACTTGCTGCTTTTCTGTTTCCGCAGCAGCTTCTAACAGGAAGTGCTTCTGCTGCCTTTTCCCGCTGATCACTAACTCTCCTCTGGCTCCTGCTGCCTCTCACGTCTCCTCAGCTGTTTGTGGCTTTCTTCCTTCTCCGAGCGTCAGGACGGTAACAGCTGTTTCCTGAAGGCTCCTGGTGTGAAAACAAACTAAAGAAAACCAGCGAGTTAGCGAGCTGTCCGCTGCGCTGCGTGGCTGTGACGTCACCAGGGAAAGAAAACATCTGTGTGACGCTGGCAGAGCAGAAGAAGAGTTTTAGCCGTGTAGTCTCATCACTCAGGCCTCAGATCAGCTGTTTTTGCTCTTGTAGTTTAATGCTCCAGGTTCCTGTCAGACCTTCCTCTCCAGGTGTGAACACCGCTCTGCTGTCGCCTGGTTTCTTATTCTTCATTGTGTCAGATAATGTCAATGAAACATTAGACATTTCTACTTTTTAATTTGATATTTTTTTAACTTATAAACACACCCCTAAATAAATAAAAGAATAAATATAAAGTCTAATATTTCATTTTATGATGCATCTGATGTTTCATTGACATTTGTATCAAGTATAATTATCAAACTAACTTTGCTTGATTTGAAGAAGCCGCAGCTTCTGTTGGTCATTATTGATTTGATTGATTTGCGTTTCCATATTGTAGTTGTTTTCTGAACGACAGGATGAGGTGAGACTGAGACGCACTAAAAGGGAAGTGAGGCTGCTTTCAAAAATAAAAGCACGAGGAGTTTTTTGTTTGTGCAGGAAAGAGAAAAACAGTTTGTTCTTCAGGTGATGAGCATCAGTGGGGGGTGTCAGGTGTAGGCGGAGCTAGTGGAGAAGCTTGTTAGCCGCCTTGCTTTAGCTCAACAGTCTCCTCTGGGATCTGGACTCTGGACCTCCTCCAGATGTGGTCTGGTTGATGCGGTGGCCCTCAGGTCGGCCCTCAGGTGTCCCCTGATCCAGACGAGATACAGACGCAGGACGTCCTGTAGCTGCTGAGGTCCGACTCTCTGGTCGTCCAGCTTCAACATATTGAACAGTGTGTTCTGGGAAAATGTGCAGTTAGCATGAAAAGTAACACGTGTGTGTGTCATCACACACGTGCTGAAAGTCACACACTCCTGTAAAAATGCATCAGAATTTAAACACCCACTTAAACCCCCCCCGACACATTTTACTCTGAGTGGTAATGAGATTTTCCTTTTTCTTTTTCCCTCTTTCTTTCTCCTTTTTCCTACTTTTTCTCTCTTTTCCCTTCCTGTGTCTCCTCCTCCTCTCTCCTTCCCTCCCAGATCGGGTTGCGAGGGCCCAGTCCTTGACTTGATCAGAAGGGCAACCAATCAAGTTGGTATTTTTTTCACGTTTTTGATTTCTCCTTTTTTTTCTCCTGTTTTTCTTTGAAAATTCCTCAAAACAAGAAAAGAAAAGAAAAGAAAAGAAAAGGTTCCTGGGGAGCAGTGAGAGGGGGCAGCTGGACTGTAGTCAGCCAGAGGGAGGAACCACTAGGGGGCAGCAGAGCACCAGGACCCTGTGGATGAAGGACACAGGGATTAATAATCTGCACATTTGATCTGCACAATGTCACTGAGGTCAAACAGGAACAGAGCGACGCAGGAAACACTGGTTTCTGTGTCTGTGTGAGGAAGCATGTGTTTCACGCTCACGGTGCTTTATTGTCTCTCATCAGATGTTCATGTCCTAATCACCACATTATCAATTCAGAAGATTCTTCCACTTTATTTTTATTGATGTTTTTTTATTCCAAATGAAGTTTATCTGGGAGATTATTTAAATCCAGGGTGCCGTTATGTGTGAAGCCAAAACAGGAAACAATGACTGATCAACAAGAGAAATTTCATCCTCACACTGCTGGTTTCATGTGGCTGAAGGTTCAATAACAGGAAACAGGTTTGACATCAGTTCATCTGTGTGCAGTTTACTGCTCTCTAATTCATTCTGGCTTTTAAAGAAAAACATTTTCTGGTATATAAAACTATAGCAACACAACAGACAGTTACAATATGTTTATGGGATGTTAAAGATAACACTGCACTCTTTAATACAAGCGTCTGATTCATGTGCACAAATGAAATAATCTGAGATGTAATGTTAGAAATTCATATTATGACGTGTCAAGATGTGTCTAATTAAGTCAATAGTGTCAAAGTCAAAACTGTGACTTAATAAAGCAGAATTATCACCCTTATAAAATCATAATTCTAATTTATCTTGATTTAAAAGGTAAAAAAAAACATATATAAATAAATAATAAAATAAGTATAATTTAAAAAAGTATATTTAAAATATGTATACATAATTAAATAATCTGTAAGAAAATGTAAATATATAGAAATATAATAAAATAATGTAACAT